TTAAAGCTGCATTACCTGACTTTAGTTTTGTACTCCATCCATCCATCCATTTTCTTCCGCTTCATCCGTTGCCGGGTCGCGGGGGCAGCAGTCTAAGCAGAGACGCCCAGACTTCCCTATCCACACACACCTCCTCCAGCTCGTCCGGGGGGACCCCAAGGCGTTCCCAGGCCAGCTGAGAGACATAGTCCCTCCAGCGTGTCCTGGGTCTTCCCCGGGGCCTCCTCCCGGTGGGACATGCCCGGAACACCTCCCCAGGGAGGCGTCCAGGAGGCATCCGGAACAGATGCCCGAGCCACCTCAACTGGTTCCTCTCGACGTGGAGTAGCAGCGGTTCTACTCCGAGCTCCTCCCGTGTGACTGAGCTCCTCACCCTATCTCTAAGGGAGCGCCCAGCCACTCTGCGGAGGAAGCTCATTTCGACCGCTTGTATCCGCGATCTTGTTCTTTCGGTCATTACCCAAAGCTCATGACCATAGGTGAGGGAGGGAACGAAGATTGACCGGTAAATCGAGAGCTTTGCCTTTCGGCTCAGCTCCCTCTTTACCACAACGGTCCGATACAGAGACCGCATCACTGCGCACGCTGCACCGATCCGCCTGTCAATCTCACGCTCCATCCTCCCCTCACTCGTGAACAAGACCCCGAGATACTTGAACTCCTCCACTTGAGGAAGGGCCTCTCCACCCACCCGGAGAGGGCAAGGCACCTTTTTCCGGTCGAGCACCATGGCCTCAGATTTGGAGGTGCTGATTCTCATCCCAGCCGCTTCACACTCGGCTGCAAACCGTCCCAGTGCATGCTGCAGGTCCTGGTTCGTTGGAGCAAACAGGACAACATCGTCCGCAAACAGCAGAGATGAAATCCTGTGGTCTCCGAACCGGACCCCCTCCGACCCTTGGCTGCGCCTAGAAATTCTGTCCATGAATACAGTGAACAGAACCGGTGACAAAGGGCAGCCCTGGCGGAGGCCAACATGCACCGGGAACAGGTCTGACTTACTGCCGGCAATGCGCACGCAGCTCTGGCTCCGGTCATACAGGGACCGGACGGCCCTCAGCAGAGGACCCCGGACCCCGTACTCACGGAGGACCCCCCAAAGGACACCCCGGGGAACACGGTCGAACGCCCTCTCCAAATCCACAAAGCACATGTGGACAGGTTGGGCGAACTCCCATGAACCCTCGAGTATCCGATGGAGAGTGTAGAGCTGGTCCAGTGTTCCACGGCCGGGACGAAAACCACACTGCTCCTCCTGAATCCGAGATTCGACCATCGGCCGTAGTTTTGTACTCATTACGAAAATTCAATCCAAATCCATGCAGTGCTTTGGGATATACGTCCATATATATATACAGCGCACGGACAGGACAGCAGTAAGAGCACACGTTTGACTTCAAGCCTTTGTTGTGTCATTGTCCTCCAAATAAATTAAAGAAGCTACACCCAATTTATTTTCTAAAGAGTTCATAAAAATGCAATTACTACAAACAAGTTGTATTAAAATCTGTCATTTAATTGAAATCTTGAGCTCATTGATTCAGCTGTGTATGAATTTAGGCCGTAAGAAGTGCTGAGTAGAAACACAACACAGAAAGGGGCTATAACTCCTCTGGCTGTAACACACAGCACAACAGCCCAAACGACGCAACAGTGAGGGAGAGAAGAGGGAACTAACGCAAAAAAATGAACCAAGAAGAAATCAAGCCCGGGTGAATATACGTAGCGTTAGCTTACATCGTATCCAGAAAGACCTGCGCCTCAGACTAGTACATTCAGACACGAAACTAGCGGTAATCTTTCTGTTTTTTTAGCAGTGCGTTGCTTTTGTACCATTTCATCATATTGTTGTACAGCATACGACAAGTTGCGCTAATGCTAATGTTTGCATGTGTATCAGATCGCAAATAAACTAGAGGGCTTCATGACAGGAGAGCTTAGGGGAAATCAGAGACCCGTGAGCGAGTTGGGGGCGGTGCTAAACATACAAACTGAAAAAAAACCTTGCAGAAACAGGTATAGCTCCTTTAATGGAAAGAAAATAAATACAAAATTGTGATTGATTTATCTTGTAAAAAGTGTTCACTGCCAATTTGGGAGTACTTGGATGGCTCCTAATCCTTTTGGTTTATTTACCGCCATCGTCGTCTTCTGTCTTCACTACGAGCAGGTATCGGATAAAAAGACACATTTGGCTTATATATCACAGTGTTGGCTGTTTTTCGGTGAAACGGGTTGTATTGGTCAAGTTTCTGAAGGCTCGCAGTTGAGTAAACAACGAGACTTCCACCGTCTGTCATGGAGGGCGTGGCCGGGACGTCACATGCACGGGGTCAATAGACGAGTTCTGCTATTCTCCCGGTCCCTGTGTGTGTCCCATGTGCTACTGAGCACAAGCCATTCATTTGAATTGGGCGCCATCTTGGATCACCGGGGCTTGGTTACTCGTTTGGTGTTAAACTCGTGAAAACTTAAGTGAGGGAGGAAAATGTGTGGTTTATAGCTTTCAAATGCAATTTTATACGCTGTTGCAGAAAGTATAATAACGTTTAATGGTCAAATTAATATTTTTTATTACACAGCCCTCCTGTCGGTACTTATTTTTTGATAATGACCTGCCTACTATACATTATCCCGTACATAACAATACAGATACTGCCAAATACTGCCACAAAGAACAATATATTCAATGGGAACAACATGAAAAGTATTTTAAGATAGCTATCAACTGCAACAAAACATGACAAAACACATACATTTATGGACAATATCACAGAATAAAACACCCTACATATCTTCCCAAAGTATCTCTCAGTTAGTATTCGATAATAATAATAAGTAATAATTACCCAAACCTGCACAATGATAACGTTACCCATGACTTTACGGATGGTAAGAACCTGATGGTGGTGTGGACGCTGCAGACGGCGCAGAGGGGGTGTGGAAACAGGTGCTTTGGATTTAATTTGATTTATGTTCAATACATCACTGCAATAACAGTGTTTCAACTTCATTAAATAAAATGACACATAATGAATTACAACCCCAAATTAACAATTGTAACGACATTGAAAAGAAAAGTATATTTAACAACCCCTGTAGTTTCCAAGAGTGTGGTCTCTCTCTTTCTGTTCTCACTCTGGTCTCTCCCTCGTTCTAATATGGCGCTGGCAGAGGCCGCACATGTGACTGAAGTATTCATGGAACACAAAAGCCACACATTTGACTGCTTTTTAAAACATGAGTTTGTGTTTGTGGAAAATACAAATGAGCAAACTCAGCGGTGTCCAGTTCCACACGAGATAATGGCAAAACTGCATCTGTGAAGAAGAAACACAGAATGTGTTGAAATGGTGTATTTATTTCTGTAATTTAGCTAAAACTGTGAAGCTAATATGAGACATAAGACCAGAGAGAGATCTGAGCGAGACCAGAGAGAGATCTGAGTGAGACCAGAGAGAGATCTGAGTGAGACCAGAGAGAGGCCAGAGAGAGACCAGAGAGAGATCTGAGTGAGACCAGAGAGAGGCCAGAGAGAGACCAGAGAGAGATCTGAGTGAGACCAGACAGATACCAGAGAGAGATCTGAGTGAGACCAGACAGATACCAGAGAGAGATCTGAGCGAGACCAGACAGATACCAGAGAGAGATCTGAGTGAGACCAGACAGATACCAGAGAGAGATCTGAGCGAGACCAGACAGAGACCAGAGAGAGACCAGAGAGAAAGACAGAGAGAGACCAGAGATAGACCAGAGAGAGATCTGAGAGAGACCAGATATGATATAGAGACAAGAAAGTGACCAGAGAGAGACCAGAGATACCAGAGAGAGAGACCAGAGAGAGACCATGAGGACCAGAGAGGGACCAGTGTCTCCTTGAAATTGAATTGTGGGTATTTTCTGTTGCTTCAGAATCTCCTTGGATTGGATCTGGTTGATGTCATTGTGTGTGTTTTTGGGGGTGTGTGTACAAAAGTGCGTCTAAAGCTGTGGTCCATCCACATTCCAGGGAGAGGCAGGTCCAGGTTACACTTCAATAACTCTGAATGAGCTGATATCCTCTTGAACAGGATCTCGACTATTTCAGAATCAGTATTAATTTTATTAAGTTACACACTTGGAAATTGCTTTGGCAAAAGTAGAGAATAGAATAAGGCATAATAAAAATCAACATACATTTCTAAAATTATTAATAAATACGGGTGCACCCAATAGACATTGTAGTAAAGTGACTGCAGTAAAGTGACTTTATAAAGGGTAAGGATATAAGTTTATGAAGTGTTCAGGAGTCCAACAGCAGAAGAAACTGTTCTTACGGCGGGAGGTTCTGGTCTGAATGGATCATGTGCAACTCAATATATTTTGTGTATTGCCCTAGATCACTGGGAATGATCCAGGAAGACGAGTCATTGCTCTTGGCTCTAGATCCAGGATAGAGGCTGTGCACACACACATACACACACACACACACACACACACACACACACACACACACACACAGCTAACATGTGGAAGAGGGAGCTGTGGTCAGAGGAGACATTGCTGTGAGAGAGGGGGCAGCATCATGCTGTGGGGCAGGAGAGAGTGTCTGTTTACGTGGAGCTAAAAGGGGTTCTACAAACTATGACCTCATGTTGAGTGCAGAGGTTCAAGGTGTGTGGATACTATTGAAACCTTTGTAAGCAGTTCTCTACTGGTCTTTGTGTTGTCTTTTATGTGTAAATAACAGCGATGAAGGTTGGGCTACAGAAGAGAGGGGTGGGGCTACAGCAAAGAGGAGAGGGGCTACAGGAGAGAGGGCAGAATAATGCAGAGAGGGGTGGAGCCAGAGGGTGTAGAGGGGCGGGGCAACAACGGAGAGGGAGGGGCTAATTCACCTGTTCGACAGGTAAGAGTCATCACTGAGGATACAGTAAAACACACAACAGGACTGACCCAGGTCTGAACCAGGTCTACAACAGGTCTAAACCAGGTCTAAACCAGGTCCAAACCCCGGGACCATGTGTGGATCCAGCCATCTCTTATTGCTCGTCTTTGTCGCAGGTAAATCTCTTGTAAATTCTGAACAAATCATATAAATGTCATATTTAGCATATTTAACAAGTCCTGATACAAACACAGGCATTTTGGCACTTTTGTAAAACCCCCACTGCTCTCACTGGGACCTACTGTGTTGTCAACAACTTGTGGTGATAAGTTCCCTTCTGTCTGAATGCTCTGGTTTCAAACGCGTTACACTCACTTCCATTCACAGGACGTTATCTTTTGTGTAAGACCGGGCCCTGTGAGTCACTATCTGGCTCTCTGGGGTGAGAGATGGTGAACATGAGGTGAAAACTAGTGATAGAAACGCTTTTGGAGCCAGAACTCTAAAACCAGAACTCTGGGTGTGGTCTGAAAGTTACAGACACCAGCTTTAAAGTTAATTCCCCAAGTTTTAGTTAGGTTTTAGTTATGTTCGTGGAGGTGTTTGAACCAGAGAGAGACAAAAGAGAAACTAATGAGAGATCAGAGAGAGAGAGACAGACCAGAGCAAGTGACCAGAAAAAGAGAGACCAGAGGGGGAGAAGAGACCAGTGAGAGAGACCAGAGAGAGAGACCACAGAGAGAATAGAGAGAGTGACACAAGCAATTACTGAGCTATAGGAGCTTACTTTTCAATAGTCAATATTTAGTCAATAGGAGCGATTGTCCATCTGTATATAGTCTCTGGTTAAAGTTTAGCTTGGTCTCACAATTTAAGCTTTGCCGCTCTGAGAAACAAACAAAGGCCTTATCTCTGATCAAGGTCCAACATTGAAGGAGCGTAAGTTGTCGCTGCTCTTTCCTTAATGAAGTTGTTCTTGTGAAAGAATTATGTTGAAAATGTCCGTATTGCTCCAAGAGGATGGGAAACTTGTGAAGTCTTTCTCTCTGGTCTCTCTCCAGTCTCTCTGTGGTCTCCCTCTGGTCTTTCTCTTTGGTCTCTATTTCTGGTCACACTCTGGTCTCACTCTAGTCTCTTTCTAGTCCTTCTCTGGTGTTTCTTTCTGGTCTCACTCTGATCTCTCTGGTCTTTCTCAGATCCCTCTCTTTGGTCTCTCTCCAATCTATCTATCTCTGGTCTCACTCTCTCTCTCTCTCTCTCTCTCTCTCTCTCTCTCTGGTCTCATTCTAGTCCCTCTGTGGTCACACTCTGGTCTCACTCTGGTCTCTCTCTCTGGTCTGACTCTGGTCTCTTTCTAGTCCCTCTCTGCTCTCTGGTCTCACTCCGGTCTCTCTCAGATCTCTCCCTCTTCTTTTTCTCAGGTCTATCTTTCTGGTCTTTCTCAGGTCCCTTTCTCTGGTCTCTTGGGTCTCTCTCTGGTCTCATTCTGGTCTCTCTCTGTTCTTAAAAGAGCCATTTGCTATTGTTTGTTCTAACCTGGCACCCAAAGAGGCTGCACGCATGTGACATCACTCAAGTATTCTCAGGACACAAGACTTGTTTTTTTAAACATTTGTGTTTCTGGGAAATACAAATGAGGAAACTCAGCGGTGTCCAGATCCACACAAGAGTGAGTTTTAGTGAGGTTTTTTTAGTAATTAGATTGATACATTCAGCTGAGACTGACCCAAAAGTGTGGCTGTGCTTTCTCTCGGAGGTAGAGCTTTGACTGTGGCCACTCAGAGAGATTAGTAAACTTTATAAAAACACAATGACAGCACAATCAAAGAGACTGTTGTGTCCCAAAAGTGCCCAGTGTCCTCAGTTTAATTCCCGTTAAAGTGGTGCGTGCATAGAGCCCATAGAAGATAAAGATACACTACAGAGACTAGAGAGAGAGACCAGAGGGAGACCAGAGAGAGACCCGAGAGAGAGACCAGAGAGAGAGACCAGAGAGAGAGACCAGAGAGAGAGACCAGAGGAAGACCAGAGAGAGAGACCAGAGAGAGAGACCAGAGGGAGACCAGAGAGAGAGACCAGAGAGAGAGACCAGAGGGAGACCAGAGAGAGAGACCAGAGAGAGAGACCAGAGAGAGAGACCAGAGGGAGACCAGAGAGAGAGACCAGAGGGAGACCAGAGAGAGAGACCAGAGAGAGAGACCAGAGGGAGACCAGAGAGGGACCAGAGAGAGAGACCAGAGAGAGAGACCAGAGGAAGACCAGAGAGAGAGACCAGAGAGAGAGACCAGAGGGAGACCAGAGAGAGAGACCAGAGAGAGAGACCAGAGGGAGACCAGAGAGGGACCAGAGAGAGAGACCAGAGAGAGAGACCAGAGGGAGACCAGAGAGAGAGACCAGAGAGAGAGACCAGAGGGAGACCAGAGAGAGAGACCAGAGAGAGAGACCAGAGGGAGACCAGAGAGGGAGACCAGAGAGAGAGACCAGAGAGAGAGACCAGAGGGAGACCAGAGAGAGAGACCAGAGGGAGACCAGAGAGAGACCAGAGACAGAACAGAGAGACAGAACAGAGAGACAGAACAGAGAGAGAGACCAGAGAGAGAGACCAGAGGGAGACCAGAGAGAGAGACCAGAGGGAGACCAGAGAGAGACCAGAGAGAGAGACCAGAGAGGGAGACCAGAGAGAGACCAGAGAGAGACCAGAGAGGGAGACCAGAGAGAGAGACCAGAGAGAGAGACCAGAGAGAGACCAGAGGGAGACCAGAGAGAGAGACTAGAGAGAGACCAGAGAGAGACCAGAGAGAGAGACCAGAGAGAGAGACCAGAGAGAGACCAGAGGGAGACCAGAGAGAGAGACTAGAGAGAGACCAGAGAGAGACTAGAGAGAGAGACCAGAGAGAGACCAAGGAGGAAAACTGAACAGTAATGAGACAGGACCTTTCAGACCTGTGTTTATTTATTCAAAATGTAAATCATTAATGCATTTATTTATTAAATAAATAAATAAAAAATTCTTGGTAAATTAAGATGAAGAGATCTTTAATCCATCCCACTGTGGGGAAATTTCAGTGTTGCATCACCAGTTACAGAACAATAGAAGCAGACAGCGCAGGATAAGTTTGCAATTACACTCTACTTTAAAAATAAAACAAAATCTCTAACTTTAGATAATAAAGAAACAACTATATTATTATGTATATTCTAGTCCAAGAACAATGATTTTTATATACAGTACATTCAAGTCAACTAAACATAATTTAGTTTTCATCTTTGACACAGATACATGTTAAATATATAAATATTTTTTTTGTGCGGGAGGGTTGGGGTGGTGCCCTGAGTTTGTTTGCTTACGGCAGGTGATTTTCACTAGTTTAAACAAGAACAAAACTCCTGCTGCCGTTCTGTCCTAATGGATGGTTTGTGTGTGTTCAGAGCTCTGACAAACTGTGCAATCGTTATAATAACATTGATAGTTTTCAATATTATTAAAATGATTGTTGATCATTATGATAAGTTGCCTTATCATAATGATCAACGCCTTACACTATAACATGAAAGTTGACTTCCTCGTCTCAGGTCGTCCCTCAATTCTTCCTCGTCAGGGGCTGCAGCATCAGGTGCTACAGCATCAGGTGCTACAGCATCAGGTGCTACAGCATCAGGGGCTGCAGCATGCAGCATCAGGGGCTGCAGCATCAGGTGCTACAGCATCAGGGGCTGCAGAATCAGGTGCTACAGTATCAGGGGCTGCAGCATTAGGGGCTGCAGCATCAGGTGCTACAGCATCAGGTGCTACAGCATCAGGTGCTACAGCATCAGGGGCTGCAGCATCAGGTGCTACAGCATCAGGGGCTGCAGCATCAGGTGCTACAGCATCAGGTGCTACAGCATCAGGTGCTACAGCATCAGGTGCTACAGCATCAGGGGCTGCAGCATCAGGTGCTACAGCATCAGGGGCTGCAGCATCAGGTGCTATCATGAGAGGCTGGCTCCGCCTCGCACTGTGTGCAAACTACTTTTCTTATTGTTTAGTGTGACTTCTTAGTTACTCACTTGTCTTGCCCAGTGCCTTCTCTGTCGTCCTCTATTCTCCGCGAAAGTTTTACAAACAGTAGCGCTGCATGCAGGGTACAGAGCGGTGTGTGGCTCAGGGTAAGATCTGTGACGGAAACACGTGTAACACACACAGAATCCGTGCGACGCGTGTGTATTTATTAAACAAGGCAAAATTCTGCAAATAAACAGTATACGAAGCATCGAGGCAGCAAAACATCCTCAAATATTTTTTGGAATCAAATTATTCGAGTTATTTGATGAATCGTTTCAGCTCTACACTAGACAGCAATATTTTATTTATGATCCATGTTTGTGGACCTGAACATGGACCTCAGACCGGCTCTAAAGCTGTGTTTGGGAGCAGACTCTAAAGCACTATAACTGATTAACTATATAAGTTGGACAGAAGCAGAGACAAAACCTTTCTGTTCAGATGAACACTTTAAAGGTGCCATATTTGATTTTTATCAAATTACATGTGATAATAATTTGAGTACAACACTCCAAACTTATTAATTATAGCAATTTTTTTCATAGAGGTTTCCTCTCCTGAAATGGCAGTGCTCCTTTGCCTGTGAGCCTCCCACAAAGGTGATGCAGCCTCCCGCTGGCTTCTTTATCTCCAAAGTGAACTGTTCAGCTTTAGACGGTACAGAGCCATTTCAGACCTGAAAATAAACGTTTTCCAACAATAACGATCCGTCACATATGCCCTATGTCCTCGATCCAGAATCAGACCTTAATAATTCAGTTGACACTTTCAAGATCAGCTTTTGAGTGAGTCCTGTGTCATGGTAACTGTAGATCTAGAACAGTCTTTAGTGAAGTGTCACTCGCAGATGAACAGTTTAGTTGAGGATTTCAGAGGCAGATCCCCAGGAATAGAAAGTGCAGCCACATTCCCCCCTTTGTCTTAGGGCCCAATAGTGTCGCTACATATTTACACCCAAAAACTTTACTATTTATCTGCGACAATAGCAGAACAACAGAATAGCTCGAGGTGGTAGACATGAGACCATACTCTGTACTCAGGAGAGGCTGTGCGCGCTCATGCGCTGTTTTGGTGTCAATCACCTGTTGGAGGCGGGCTTCAACTCGTGCCGCGTCATCGATGTTGCTCAGC